ATCCAGTCCAACACAGGACTGACATCCATCAATCCAGTCCAACACAGGGCTGACATCCATCAATCCAGTCCAACACAGGACTGACATCCATCAATCCAGTCCAACACAGGGCTGACATCCATCAATCCGGTCCAACACAGGGCTGACATCCATCAATCCAGTCCAACACAGACTGACATCCATCAATCCAGTCCAACACAGGGCTGACATCCATCAATCCAGTCCAACACAGGGCTGACATCCATCAATCCAGTCCAACACAGGACTGTCATCCATCAATCCGGTCCAACACAAGACTGACATCCATCAATCCAGTCCAACACAGGCTGACATCCATCCATCATCTCTACTGCTTGTCCCGTTTCGGGGTCAAAGGGGGCTGGAGCCAATCCCAGCTGTCATTGGGTTTACACCCTGGTCGCCAGTCTATCATTCCAGTCATGGGCTGACATAAAGAGACAAACATCCATGTTTACACTCACACCTATGGGCACCTTAGAGTCAGCATGAGCAGTCTTTGGACTGCACCCATGTGTGCCACACAGAAATGTGGGATCACATTATGTGATTTATTTTTGTGTATTGTGTATATTTCAATATGGTAAATGTGTAATGGGAGCATTAGTTCTGTTACTTTGTGTAAAATCTCATTTAGAGTGTAGTTCCAATTTTTGCCACAAGGAGGCGTAACCTCCAGGTGAGACAGCTTAGTCTGCTCGGCAGACCTCGTCTTCAGACTGACAGAAGCGAGGAAAGGAAACACACTACATTGCTTTGTCTCATTATTTCCCTGTTATTACAGGTGAGTAAATGTCACAAATCAACATACATGTGTCTATAGTATATTCTTCTGTAACATGTAGAAGCTAACACCATCTTAAGTGTGTGTCAGGATGTGTTTTAAATGTGTTTTGAAGGTTTTAAGGTACTTTAGCTATGATGCTCATGAGCACTAGCTTAGCTCATCGCCACTTCATATATGTATGAACGTGGCCCACTGTATGTCGGTCATGGGTTGTCCCTAGCTCCCATGTTGTTTAGTAAAGCTCCTGCATATCTCTTAAAGTAACTGTGAGTTCATGAAGACTGTTCGTTTTCATATTTTGTACTTATTTTCTTGTAAAATGTGTAACGCTTACTCCGCTAGCTTTGCAGTTCTCTATGGGATTTCCCATGTTATTTGTTAGCATAATGCTAAGCGAGGATTGATCTCCTCGCTTAGTTCCTCTCCAAGTTTTACACATAACTCTTGGCCTACTTTGCATTTAAGGAGTCATGCTGCACACATGTCCTCCTGCTGTCATTATCTAAAACGGTCACTACCTTAATGAGAGGATGAAGTTAACAGCTGCATTACATTATGTTCAGGGATAATGATTAACCTAAATGTTTCTGTTAAAGATTGGAATAGAAAAATAACACATATATGTATAATTAATATCAATATGCAGTGATAAATAATATCTAAACTGACATATTTGAAAATATTATTTGGTTTTTGTTTGGTTTCTTTTCCTTTATTCTTTTTTAATGTCCGTGCTTTTCAAGGTACTATATAAAAAATAAAGTTATTATTATTTGTTTCAGATTTGCAGAGCCCAGCTGGAGAAGTGCAAACATGAAATACCTGCTGATGGAGTCTGTAAATGTCAAGAGTTACTTAAAATGTGATTTGACTGACGCAGTTGTGATCGCACAATAAAAATAATTTGAGCAAAAATGAAAGCAGTCTCTGGTTTAATATGAAAAGGTCAAAACGCAATGAAGTGATGTTTAGTTAAGAAATCTTGAAAGGTAATCCTAATGATACATTTATTTTCAGTGCTATGTCTGTCATGATTCAATGAGTATTGTAGGCACTTATCTGAAACCTCACAGCCTTACTAGCTCCTTGAGTTACTTCTATTCCACATGAGTTTCCAGACACATTTTACTCAGTTTGTTGTCTTAGTTATGTGTCCAACTTTTGAACACTTGTGCTTTTGAGTTTCTTTTTTGATCATTTGAAACTGGAAGCTGCTGCCTCAGTTTAGACGAGGGTGTATGAAGATAAAGAAAAACACGACATCTCTGAAAAGAAAGTACTTATTAAAACACACACCTACTGATGGTTTCATTCTTGTGTGTGTAGAACTAGAACGTCACCTCTATTATATGTGTGAAGCGAGGGCGTGTGTATGTCGACACACACAGGAACTTTAAAAGGGGAAGTGTGAACCTTTCAGTGTGAGAGTATTGCTGTGCGCAGGAAGGAAGAGGCTCAGCTCGACCACAGTCTCAACAGAGCTCCGCTCTGTCTGTCTCTCTGCAGACAGTTAACGTCTCCGGGTCGTTAAACGATTTCTTGTGTCACTATCCGAGATGTAAACTTAACTGTGCAAACTATGCAGCGCGTCGGTTTGGAAAAATATCAGAACAGTTGCATATAATCGGGATGGAGTTCTTTTTGCGGACTTTTGTTTAGTTTTCATTTTCACCGCTGCGGAGCAAAAAAGGAGGGAGGGAGACGCGTCTGTATCGGAGCATAGACTGCAGCATGATAGAATAAACACATTAGCCCGGTTCTACGATCTCCCTGCTTTGGCAGATCGTCAGCACGTTAATATCCTTCACGATCTAAGATCGTTTTATCGCCCACCACTACAGGAAGCTTAAAATGGTTTCTAAAAAGGCTTTGGCCATCGATGGCGTTATCACCTTCGTGGTTGTCGTGGTTGTCCTCGTTCCATCGGTACTGCTGATTCCTGAAAAGTTCGAAGATACGTTCATGAGGAAGTGCTCGGAGTTTAAAGAGAAAAAAGAAATGTAAGTCTCTTTGAATTTTTAGTCTACTTGAATTAACATCTGGGTTGAGTAAAAACATATTGTTTGCTATCATATTCATAATATATAAAAAAGTGTAAACAACTTTTCCTGTACTAAGTAATAACATTTATTTTTCAGCTGTAAAAACGCATGGGTTATCTTTGAAAAAGCCTATGTAGGGAAGGACCCGAAAACTGTCACTCCTGACAAATACAACGATCTCTTTGATAAGTTCCCCTTCAAGTATCCATGCGAAAAAGTAAACATCCCTAACCACACATCTGTCTGAGTAACATCCTTATTCTTGTGAATTAAAGCAGATTTGTGTACTTAACAACGGCATATCATCTCTTTTGGGGTTAGTCACTGCTGTGGAGCAAAACACGTGATTTGGTCAAGTTGGTTAAAAAAGGAAAATGCTACGTCCCCATTGTACACACTATGTTGGGATACGTGCTGGACGGTTTGATCTGGTGTGGGAAGAAGAACAGCCCGGGTAAGTCATTAATCATAGTGACGTTAAGACGTAGCCTTTAAATCAGAAACAGTTCAGTGTAGTATAGTATAATATGTGACCTTTACAAATGTGCTTTTGAATCTATTTGTGATAATTTTTTTTACAAGTTTATATTGTGTTGGTTTATTTATGTCTTCTGTAAAGCACATTGAGTTTAAATTTGTCTGAAAAGTGAGATACAAATGAACTTGAATTGAATTGAATACAGATAAAAAGACACTTTGTCATTCCTGATATCTCTCACAGTCAGTTGTATCTTTTTAAAGCCTAAACTCTGTAAACTATCACACAAACACTTATTGTCTTTTATTCTAGAAACTCTTTCACTGATTTCTCTCAGTGTACGAAGCCCAAAATCAACCCTTCTAATTCATTTTGGACAACGGCCTCCATCAGGGTAAGTACCCAGCGAGAAAGTACTCGTTTTTCATCACTTACATTAATTCAGTCAGTGACATGTACAAAAACAGAAAACACTTTGCCTCAAGGGAACTAGATATAGTTCAATCAGGAGAGACAAGTAAACTAACTAATGATTTATTACAATAACATGGAAATGTGACTTGACAGAAATACTTTGGCGCTTGGACTCTATGGGTAGGGTGATGTGTTTGGAGAATGACAATTCTGAGCATCGACAGAATAAATCCCCCCCATGGAGTCCAGACCCTGGTGGTGGTGAAGCTGATGACTTGATGAGACCGGATGGGTGACGAATTGATGGATGATGAGTCTGTGAAGACTGGCGGGGATGGAGAGGTGGAGGGGCGCTCGAAACATCAGCATGAAGGAACTAATGCACAGAAAGAATCATATTTAAAAGGGGAGCAGAACGATGATAGGTTGAAAATCAGGGAGGAACGCCATGTGATTGGTTAGATGAGTACTGCTGACGAGACAGCCGATTACCCATTGACAGCCCAAAAATGACAGCTCGAGAGTGACAGCGGAAACATGAGTGAGTGTTCAAAAAGAGATGAATGAGAGATATACCCGATCATGAAGGCAGTTATAGTCTTCCTGATTGAACTTACTTGTTCTTAATTTCTCAAACACTTTTCTGTCAAATGTCTGTGTCTTTAAAACACAACTGAGCCTAGCTGCAGAAACCTGACAGATAATGAAGTATGATTGGTTGATTAATTGGTTGGTTGATGGATGGATGGATAGATGGATGGATGGAGAGATCAACCATTGTATGAAATAAATAATTAATAACTTGTTCTTATGTCTCCTGTAGTATACACAACATGCCTGTGGAGAAGTCAAAGTGCTGCTGAATGGAGATGATGATGTCCCATACGATATTGACAGGTAGGCAGCAGCTCTACACTTGAAATGTGGACAGATTTATGAACCCCTCGATGATAACCAAAAATGCTGTGATGTTTGACATGACACCTAAGCTGACATATTTGAAAATATTATTGTCACAAGTAATGTCTTCCCTCCAAGTGTCTGCAACCCCCCCCCCCCCCAGAGTATGGAGAGCACATTTGTATTGTATAATAAAGTGCTATACAAATAAAGTCTGATTGATTGATTGAGATAAGAAAGACAAAGTATTACAAAGTTTTAAAATATCTCAGCCCTTTACTTGTACTTTTAAATGCTGCCTGATGTAACGGCCCCTGTTAACCTGACTTGTTTTATTCTTTCTCAATGTTTCTCTTATGTTATTAGTTACTTGGCAGAATCTGAGGTACCATATCTTGATAATACCAAAGTGACGAAACTGGATGTTATTATGGCTGTTAAGACGAAAGGGTACGATTTCATTTTTATTTCTTATGGCAGACTTTTGCCACATCGCTTTGAAACTAAATAGGCCTGTTTTTTTGCTGTAGTTGTCATCAGTTGACTTAAAATACATACAAAGACAAATTGGTAAACATAACAAACCATATGCTGTTCTGTGTCCTCCCTGCATTTCTTTTATTTAGGAGACCGGGATGCAACGACAAATCCCTCAAGGAATTAAAAAAGGAGCTGAAACAAAAACAAATCGTTTACGATTGCAAGGAAGTGTTCAGGTAAGTTCACTGAAGATCACGAGTAACATCGTTCTATGCTGAGGTTGTCACATATCGATCATGTTTATTCCTTTTGTGCTTTGTATTGCTGTTATCTGTTTTTAGAAGCTGTGAGCTCTTTTAGTATCATCACATCTTTGGTCCTTTTGGTCTCAGCTCGTGTTGTTGGGTTCTTGTGTTGCCTGCGTTCTTTTTGTGGGTGTCTTATGATGGTCGGGTTAAATGTGTTTGTTGGGTCTATTGTTGTGTGGGTTCTTATGCTGTTGGGTTGTTTCTTTGTTGTTCTGTATTATGTTGTATTGTCTATATTCTTGCTGTTGTTTATGTTTGTCTGTGTTTGCTCTTCTGTGTTTGGTTTCTTTTCCTTTATTCTTTTTTTATGTCCGTGTTTTTCAAGGTGTTATATAAATAAAGTTTTTATTCTTTGCTTCATTGCAGATCCCAGGTGGAGAAAATATTAAATACCTGCTGATGGAGTCTGTAAATGTCAAGAGTTACTTAAAATGTGATTTGACTGACTCAGTTGTGATCGCACAATAAAAATAATTTGAGCAAAAATGAAAGCAGCCTCTGGTTTAATATGAAAAGGTCAAAACGCAATGAAGTGATGTTTAATTAAGAAATCTTGAAAGGTAATCCTAATGATTAAAACACACACCTACTGATGGTTTCATTGTTGTGTGTGTAGAACTAGAATGTCCCACACACACACACACACACACACACACACACACACACACACACACACACACACACACACACACACACACACACACACACACAGAGGAACTTTAAGAGGGGGAGTGTGGACCTTTCAGTGTGTGAGTACTGCTATGGGCAGGAAGGAGGAGGCTCAGCCGCTGAGCAGTCTTTACCTCCTCTTTCCTTTCCAGTGACTTGCTGCTGTGTCACTCGTACCGTAATCAGTGTGTGTCTGTGCTGGGAAGGAACGTGAGGGTTTCTCTCTGCACAGATGTGGCACATGAAGGACGCCCCCGCTGTAAAAAGCACAACATGGGTTCCCTGACATGTGTAGTAGCTACTGCCTGAAATATTGTCGTAGTTTAAGTCACTGTACCGACCATGAACAAAAACATGCTAATCATAGTCTTTAGCATTTTTAAGACAATAACAAGGTCCTAAAGTCAATTTACTACTCTGGACTTTCACTTACACAGAATAGAAACCATAATCAGACTGATAAATGAAACGTTTCCAAAAGTATCCATCAGTTCACTAAAGGGTTAATGCTAACAGGCTAAATGATGTGTGTTTCTTCTGCCTACATAACCAAGAATAATGATAAAGCTCTGTTTCATGCACAGAATGGCTAGCATGTAGCATTTTTTAAGCTGACTGTAGAGCAATACACCTGTGATAAAGTCTGAATGTGTACTAAAATAGTTCATTTAGGGACTTTAAATTGTTATGAGGAATGCAGACAGACCCACAATAGGCCTACAGTTGTGTTATCAAGGGTTTTTTCTTAAGAAGTCAAATGTTATTGTGGTGACATGGTGATAACAGATTACCCGACAAACCCCCCCTGACTAAAATAAATAAATAAATAATAATAATTCTTTATTTGTAAGACACTTTACATGACAGAAAAACAACTTGCTTTACAGCAGCAGTTTAAAGGAGACAATCAGAAACACAGAAGATATAAAACTTCATGAGGACTTCTGTAAAAAACATAATACAAATAGGAAAGTTGTTATTTTATTTAAAAGTCTTGGAGAGATCACCTTTTTTTATCGTGGTGCAAGAGGTTGGTTTCATTTATTGTTGGTAGGATATTCCCAGAGAGACTGAAATGGATGCAGCTTTATAAATGTAGAAATATTGAAATAGGTTTCAGTCGTAAATGAGTTGACTAGACAATTCATGGTTGGACTGCCTGCATAATCAGGTCGATGACTGGAGGAGTGGCTGCAGCGTGTTTTCCCCTTTCCTTCTTCCCTGAATCAATCTCTGAGTCAACACCTTTTAGAACAGCCTGTACGAACATTGAGTAACCAAATAAACCTGCAAGATGTGCGAGTTTCCCTTTAGCCGCAGCACCTGACTTCTGATTTTTGTCTGTGCAGGTCATCTTTTTGTTGGGTCTATTGTTGTGTGGGTTCTTATGCTGTTGGGTTGTTTCTTTGTTGTTCTGTATTATGTTGCATTGTCTATATTCTTGCTGTTGTTTATGTTTGTCTGTGTTTGCTCTTCTGTGTTTGGTTTCTTTTCCTTTATTCTTTTTTTATGTCCGTGTTTTTCAAGGTGTTATATAAATAAAGTTTTTATTCTTTGCTTCAGTGCAGATCCCAGGTGGAGAAAATATTAAACACCTGCTGATGGAGTCTGTAAATGTCAAGAGTTACTTAAAATGTGATTTGACTGACTCAGTTGTGATCGCACAATAAAAATAATTTGAGCAAAAATGAAAGCAGTCTCTGGTTTAATATGAAAAGGTCAAAACGCAATGAAGTGATGTTTAGTTAAGAAATCTTGAAAGGTAATCCTAATGATACATTTATTTTCAGTGCTATGTCTGTAATGATTCAATGAGTATTGTGGGCACTTATCTCAAACCCCACAGCCTTACTAGCTCCTTGAGTTACTTCTATTCCACATGAGTTTCCAGACACATTTTACTCCGTTTGTTGTCTTAGTTATGTGTCCAACTTTTGAACACTTGTGCTTTTGTGTTTCTTTTTTGATCATTTGAAACTGGAAGCTGCTGCCTCAGTTTAGACGAGGGTGTATGAAGATAGAGAAAACACGATATCTCTGAAAAGAAAAGAAAGTACTTATTAAAACACACACCTACTGATGGATTCATTCTTGTCGGTGTAGAACTAGAATGTCACCTCTATTATATGTGTGAAGCGAGGGCGTATGTATGTCGACACACACACAGGAACTTTAGAAGGGGAAGTGTGAACCTTTCAGTGTGAGAGTATTGCTGTGCGCAGGAAGGAAGAGGCTCAGCTCGACCACAGTCTCATCATAACCGGATGGAGTTCTTCTTGCGGACTTTCATTTCATTTTTGTTTTCACCGCTGCGGAGCAAAAAAGGAGGGAGGGAGACGCGTCTGTGTCGGAGAGTCGGAGCATAAACTGCAGCATGATAGAATAAACACATTAGCCCGGTTCTACGATCTCCCTGCTTTGGCAGATCTAAAATCTTTATATATCGCCCACCACTACAGGAAGCTTTAAAATGGTTTCTAAAAAGGCTTTGGCCATCGGGGTTATTGTCACTGTCGTGGTTGTCGTGGTTATTGTTGTTCCTTCGGTACTTCTGACTCAAAAAGCTGAGTTCAGGGAAACATTCATGAAGAAGTGTTTGGAGTTTCCAGAGGAAGAACACATGTAAGTCTCTGTATTTCAGTTTGTTGCCACTATTTTGTTGTTGAAATTGACTACGGTATTTATTTACATTAATTTTTCAGCTGTGAAACTATTTGGACTAACTTTGAACAGGCCTACGTAGGAAAGGAGAAATGTAACTTTTCTGACCAAAACTATGATCAACTCTTTGCTGAGACCCCCTTCAAGCATCCATGTGGCAAAGTAAACATATGATCAGCCTTAATCACATTAATTAAAGCAGATTCTTATGTGTATACATATTTACCAACGTCACATCAACTCTTCTGGTATTAGACGATGTTCTGGAGCAAAACGAAGGATTTGGTCCATAAGTTCACCAAGAAGAGAGATTGCTTCTTCACCTTGGAGGACACTTTGTTGGGATATGTGCTGAATGGACTGAGCTGGTGTGGGGAAAAGGGAAACAATGGTAAGATTCATGAGTCACAGTGTATGGCATATAGCCTTAAAAATGAAACAGATTGGTGTAGCAGCTAAAAAGACAAAAACTTGCATGCATCAACCCCACACAAATACACGGATAAATACATCATTCATCCAAATGTTTAAAGCCAATCTTAACACAAGAACTGTATTGTCTCCTCCATTGATTGTGTAGTGGCTGTGTAGTCTACTTCTGTTGTATTGTGTGATAAACCAGGCGTAAATATTCACATTTGGCTCCAACACGCTTTCAAGTAATAAGCTGCAGATATTGCACAGGAACACGACAGTGCAAATTGGCCAGTTTATATTTAAATGTATTAAAACGTAAATGTACTTGACACCAACATAGCCTACATATATTGAGTCTCTCACAGCCAATTTTTGTATAAAATAAAATAAAAAATAAAAAACAAGCTACAGAAATGGCTAAAACATTATGCTAACTGTTATCTAACGGTTAGTAAGTTAATGACGAAGCTATCATAGCTTTACAACAAGGTGAGACAAGATTACTGTTCAAAAAATCCGTACAAAAGTCACAAAACTGTTTGATATTAAATTCATAGACTGTCCTCAACTTACCACGAAGATAAAAAGCACTTAAACCAAGAAAAAACGAAATTACTGTGTCGTATTTTTGCGGAGCATAATTTACAAATCACGTTACCATGGGGACAACTTACAGCTGAGACCGGCAACAATTAACAGGGCTCACCACTTAAGTCTGCAGGGGCTCCACCAGAGGGCGCTCATGTTAAACACAACATGGCTACCAGTCCCAGTGAAAAACTTAACAAGAACCTGACAAGAACACATCAGTATTGTCATTAAAATATCAAATTACCTGCAAATATGGGCCAAAAATGTCAAATGATGGCAATTGTAATAATTAGCTCAGCTACATGCTTCTGACAAAGTGAATTGTGACTCTAAATTGTGAAAAAGTAACATTCATCAATGTGTTCTTTGTGTGTTCATGTCTTTGTTAATCCAGAAACATTCACTGAGAATTGTGAGGACTGCCTGAACAACCCTGTTAGCTCATTCTGGAAAATAGCCTCAACCAGGGTAAGTATCCAGAAGAAAAATCAATAGTTTGAACCAAAAATACACTGATTTGGTTAGTGACATGTATGACGGTGTGTGTGTGTGTGTGTGTGTGTGTAGTTTGCACAATATGCCTGTGAGGGAGCATCAGTAATGCTTGATGGTGAGAGAAAAGAGCCATACGATTCTAACAGGTGAGCTGCATTACACTCAACATGTGTACCCCACCCTTCAGTGAAAAAAATAAAATAAAGTTTCTCCGCTCTTTACTCGAACATTACGCTGCTTCATGTGAGAGCTCTGATTTGATGAGCTTGCTTTTGCTTTTTTGATTTTACTTTTAGTTTCTTTGGAGGTGTAGAGGTTCCAAATCTTCAACCACCCAAAGTAAAGAACCTCACTGTGGTTCTGGTCACTGAGGAGATTAGGTACGAGTTCATTTCTTTAAAGCAGTTGTTTGCCTTCATGCTGTAGAGTATAATTGTATAACTGTCTGGATGTCCTGTAAAGTTTTTGCTTGGCATTTAATAGGTGTATAGTTATCAGTCCAGTTTCTTTTTTTCAGGGCCTGTACCTGTGATTCCCTCGGGACTTTAAGGAAGGACCTGGATCAAAGAATAGGTTGTGCCTGCAAAGCAGTGACTAAGTACGTACGAATAATAAGACATTGTCCAATACTGCTGGTGTTAAAAAGACATCATGTTAT